AGGTTTTTAAGCTCGGGAGAAATAAGGAAAGTAAAAGTTAAAAAGAGGAAGAAGAGGCTAAGGAAAACTTGATTTCCTTTGCAAATTTCTCTTAATACCTTGTGATAAGAATGTTAGAGCCATTTTTCTTTTGTTTGATTTTGGTTTTGGATATCAAATTGCAACATTAATTAGTAGTTATTAGAGAAAAGGCTATGTGAATTCATTCTTGATATTTAACAAGTTTAAATTATGATTCTAAAAGATTCACCTGATCTTGTTGTTTCAAAGCGATTAAAGTCATAGTGAAATAAAACAAAATAGTTGATCTACATTCTATCGAAAGAACTGAGTAAAAGAGTATAGCACATCATCATCATCAAGCATACACAGAACTAGGCACGTCATTCTCTTGTAATGCAATCAGGTTCCAAGAAGTTCGTTTCTGGCAGAAAATAGTTGGGCTATAACATCAGCAATGCCCATCCGTTCCTGTGGCGACTCGACAGAACATGAGATTCCAGTTGTAAATACTGAGACCAAGCACTCAAGAACTCTATTTTGTTCGATAGAATTCCCTTCAGATTTTATTTGAAGAAGAGTAGGATCTGCAATCTGCAACACTTTCTCAGGCAAAAATGTCTTGACATAGCTATGAAGGTTCAGACCATTAAACAGGTCATCAGTTGGTCTCTTTCCTGTAAACATCTCCAGCAAGAGTATGCCATAGCTGTATACATCACCATATGCTGACACTTCGTTTCCCGCACCATACTCTACAATCAAAACCATAAGATGGGAAGTAAGTTTGCTACGGGATCCAGCAAGCAGTAGCATGAAAAATTTAAAGTGTTTAGAGACATTTGAAGAAACAGCGGCACGAAAATATGATATTAAAATTAAAAAGAATGCGATGAACAGAACAAATGTATGTTTACCAGGGGGAGTATAACCAATGGTCCCTCTTATTCCAATGGAGCTTGATGGGTTCGTCGAATGGTGAAGGTTGTCTTCGAGAAGGAATTTTGCTAACCCAAAATCACCAACATGGCCAACCATTTCGTCATCGAGAAGAACATTGCCTGGTTTGAGGTCACAGTGAACCATTTGTTTTTCACATTGATGATGAAGATAGTCTAGTGCGTGGGCAACATCGATGGCAATGTTTAGTCTCTGTGAAAGATCTAGAATCCCCTGCACCTCATGGGTTGCAGGACTTGGATGCAGCCAGGTTTCCAAACTCCCATTAACCATGAATTCATACACCAAAGCCTTGAAATCATTCCCATGATAATCAACACCTGAACATGCTGTCACTACCTTAACTAGATTTCGATGTCTGACGTTCCGCAGAGCCTCACATTCAGCCATGAAACTCTTAGAAGCTCCTTGACGCGTGAGGTTAAGCACTTTGACAGCAACAGCTGTTCCATTATGATCAAGAATTCCTTTATAGACAGAGCCAAAGCTACCAGTACCAATTAAATTGATCGATGAAAATCCATTTGTAGCTTTTAGGAGACTTTGATAAGACACCTTCAATAGAACATTCCCATCAGAGCTTGGAGTGAATTCTCTTCTTTTCTTTCTTGACCAGAAAAGAAATAAACCAGTGATAAGTACTGCCACCGCTAGAAGCAAGGAAATCACAAAGATTGATATCTTCATTTTTAGGCTCAACCTCTTCGGGTGTTTGAAATTGCATGGAGGAAGCTCAAAATCAGGTATGCCACCGCATAGCTTGCTATTCCCAATGACTGAAGTTGCTGTTGCATTCTTGAAAATTCCTCTAAAAGGTACCATCCCTTCAAAATTATTATAAGATAGGTCCAAAATTTCCAAGGACCTGAAATCTTGGAAAAATTCTGGAATTTTCCCTGACAAATTGTTATGAGAAAAATTGAATTCTTGAATGCCTCTCAGGGTACTCAAGGAGGAAGGGACGGATCCTTCAAAAAAGTTGGCATCCAAGTACAAGAATTGCAGACTTATACAATGTGCAAGACTACTAGGAATCTTACCTGATATCATATTCCCAGAAATAGCAAAAATTCCTAGATTTTCCAAATTTCCTACTTCCTTTGGTAGGGAGCCAGACAAATGGTTTCGAGATAAATCAAGATTAATTGACAGAGAGGATAGTCCAAATATTTCAGCGGGTATGCTTCCGCTTAAATAGTTTCCAGAAAGATCCAACTCTAACATTTTGTTGCAATTTGCTAGACTTGAAGGGATGCTGCCTTGAACATTGATGTCATTTAAATAGAGTCCAATTAACTTTGTCAGGTTTCCTAGAGAGGATGGAATATGCCCTGAAAAATTATTCAATGCAAGACCCAATATTTCTAGATTTTGAAGCTTCCCAATGGTAGAAGGAATGATACCTGAAAGGTGGTTGTTTTGTACTTCAAAATCATTCAAGCTGATGAGATTCTCTATTCCATCAGGGATGCTCCCAAATAATAGATTGCTGTCGAGGCCCATGATTTCCAGTGTAGTTGACAAATTGCTGATTTGTGGAGGCAGCTGTCCTTGAAAGTTATTTTGCGTTATAATCAATTGCTCTAGGTTTGTGGCATTGGTCAAGGAGGAGAGAAAGCTCAAGTCATTGGCTTCCCCACTTCCCAGATTGTTGGAGGCAATGGTTATTGAAAGAAGCCTTTGTAGCTTTTCCAGTGAAGGCATTTTTCCTGTAAGCTTGTTTTGGTTTAACTGTAGCATTTCAAGATTTGATAAATTGGATATTGAAACAGGAACAATTCCAGTGAATTGGTTAGAATGGATGGAAAAGAATTCAAGATTTGGAAGGGAAATGCCCAGATCAGGGGGGAGATTGCCGTGGAAATGGTTAAGCCCTACTTCAAAAGCCCTTAATGAAGAGAGATTGAACATGGAGGGAGGGATGGTACCTGAAAATCTATTATTAAACAATGATAAAATCCTGAGGTTTACCAATTTGCTTAAAGTAGCAGGGAGATTCCCAAACAACTTATTATCATTTAGCCATAGTGTCTGGAGGGATGATATGTTCCCTAAAGATGGAGGGATAGTTCCTGTAAGGTTGTTGCCCGCTAGAGAGAGGTTTCTGAGCTTCAAGAAGGAGCCAAACTCCTTCGGGATTTCTCCAATCAGCTTGTTGTTTGCTAATTTGAGTGAAACGAGGTTATTGGAACTAGATATACTAGCAGGAATTTCACCAGTAAGAGAATTATTATGTAGTGCTAGTATTTGCAATCTATGCAAGTGGCCAATTTGCGCTGGGATTTCTTGACTGAAGCTGTTGTTTTGAAGGTATATCTCTCTTAAAAAGCTCAGATTGCCAATATATGGTGATACGGAACCTGACAGTTTAAGGGACCGCAGATCCAGCACCGTCACCCTTTGGTGCTTCTGACCGCATGTGACACCGAACCACTGGCAGAAGTGGATGCTGCTATTCCACAGGCGCATGATTCCAAGAGGATCATGGGTCATTTTGGACTTGAAATCCAGCAAGGCTAGTCGGTCGGTCTCATTCCTGTCGATTGACAAGGCAGAGGACGTGAGACACAAGAGGAGAAGAACAATGGCATGGGGGCAGAAGACTGGAGAAGGCAGTAAAAAACCCATTGAGAACAATAGCTGAAGGTTTTTTGAGTGGTATTACTGGCTGCTTTTAGGCATTGATCAAGGCCAAGGGTTGAGCTAGTTTGGCGGTGAACAAGGAGGAGGAAATATCCAGTAATAGGATGAGAATTTTAGCAGAAAATGTGAAAACGGGACCAGCTGCCTTATTATAATTATTAAGAACAACGGAAGTGAAGTAAGAGTAGTTTCGAGCGTGTGGAGAGGACCATCAAAAGTGGTCGACATTGTACGATAAACGAGATACGATAATGCCGCACTGATTCTCAGTGTGTCGTTTGGTGGGTCATAATTATTATTATTGGAGCACTACAAGAATTCTATGGTCGGGGTAGTCTTTCCCGCAGGAAACCTGTTTCTCTGTAATTTCTAAAAACGTTTGAGCTTGCTACCGGTTTGAAGTCTCAGGCTAATATATATATATATATATATATTAAACAAGAGGGATGAGATATTATATTCTACTTGCATAGATCATGGAAAACTAGGATCCAATTTGACACCTCATTGCCTTTTTAGGAGTCTAGTTTTCCATGATCTACAAAGTAGACTAGAATACCTGATCCCTCCTGTTTGCTTTACCCACCCTAGAGATGGAGTGAAATTATTAATTTCCCCCCCTTTTTTTTCTTTTTCTAGTTATTTTTATTTATTAATATTCGTTTGTTTTTAAATTTATCTTTATATATTATTTTCGTATGATTTTTATAAGTGTATTATAGTCTCAAATATATATATATATATATATATATTTAATTTTATAAGTATCAAATTTTATAATTTGTATTTTTATTAACATATAATTAAATAAAAAAATTTTTAAAAAAAATTCTTAAACTAAATGAAATTCATTATTTAGATCATGAATTTAATAGGTTAATTCATGAAGTTTAGTTTGATTTAATATATTAATATGTTAATATTAAAAAAAATATTATTTTAATTTTTTTAAATCAAATCATATATTTTAATTAATGATTAAAATTGTTTTTAAACCGGTTAAATCAATTAGATTATATTAAAATAACTTTTATATTATTTAATTTTAAAATTGAGTTAAGTAATAACTTGTATTAAAATATTTTAAAATTTAGACAACTTGACACCTAGCCATCTCTTTATTTATAATAAGATTGAAAAGGTATTTGAGAGTGTAGTTGTAATTATTTTTTAAAATATTTTTTATTTATAAATATATTAAAATAATTTTTTTATTTTTTTAAATAATTTTTAATATTATCATATCAAAATAATCTAAGAACATCTAAAAATATTAATTTAAAATGAAATATTTTAAAAAAATTAAAAAAAAATACTTGGAAGAAATTACAAGCTTTCAATACTGTAGTTTACTTAGATCATGTCTTGGGGGAAAAAAAAGAAGTCTGTGGGCGAAGATGGTCCGTGCAAGCATTTTATATAGATACAGAGAAGTCAACAACACAGCACAGTCACGGGAATCTAAAGTAAGACGCCAATAGCAACGTTGAAATAAGAAGTTTGTTTTAAAAAGTATTTTTTATTTAAAAAATATAATATAATAATATTTTTTTTTATTTTTTAAAATTATAAAATTAATTTAAAATAATTTTTTTTGCAAAGAACTTTTAAAATAAAAAAAATATTTTTTAAGAAGGAGAGAAATCCAAATCCTGCCTTGTTAATTTCCTTACCTCTACTAATGTTAACCTTGTATAAAAAGTTCTAAGGAATTTTAACAAAGATTTAACTTTGAATAATATTGATCTGTTATATATAATAGTTTTAAATAATTTGAGTCAAGCTTTAATTTAATTAATACTAATTAGTTTTAACAACAGTTTTACTGAATTCATTCAACCAAAACTATTAATTAATGAAATCTACTTGGATAATAAATAAGGTCATTTCATAATTCTGATAATTAATGGTTTTTTTTTTTGTTTTTTAATAAATTTTTTTGTTTAATTTAGTTTGTTAATAAATCTCAAGTTTGATGGATTAATCTAAAATTTTATTTTTATTTTTTTTAATTAATTTAATTTATTAATATTAATTTTTTATTTAATTATCAGAATTTTAAGATTAACCTAGTTTATTGCTATAGCATGTAACCCTTCAGTAGGATGTGTAAAATTAAGGCATTGGTGGGATCATTTCATGATTGGAAGAGTCAGAAACATCAGACATGGGACATATGGAAAATGACTTCTTATGTCCTTTCAGTTCTTTGAAAGTAATCTGATTCTTCAGCATTACTGCTTGCCTAATCTGTTCATTGTTTGGTCGTTGCTGCTATATGTTAAATACTGTCAGTTGATCATATTTCGTAGGCCTTAATTAAGATGAGCACGGGAGGATAAGATCACTACATAAGATCTTAATTAAGTATTGGGGGTTGTGTAAGTCTGGAAGGCTTGTATATGAATTCCAACTTCTTTCATGCAGGGTCTATCCCTTCAGCATTGAGTTCACTGAGAGGAGTTCTACAGTTCAACTTTTCTCGTAACAACTTGTCAGGGAAAATTCCAGAGTTTTTTCAGGGCTTTAACTCATTAGAGATGTTGGATCTCTCTTATAACGACTTCGAGGGCTTGATACCAGATGAAGGAATTTTCAAGAACTCAACTGCAGTTTCAGTCATAGGAAATAGCCAGCTATGTGGTGGTAACACCGAGTTGGGGCTGCCTAGATGCAAGTTCCACCAACCAAAAAGGCTGAAACTCAAATTGAAGATAGCAATCTTTGCCATTACAGTGCTTCTAGCATTGGCCCTTGTTATCACTGGTTTATTTCTTTATTCATCAAGAAGGAAAAGAAGAGAAATTAAATTGAGCTCTATGCGGAATGAGCTATTGGAGGTGTCTTATCAAACTCTCTTAAAAGCTACCAGTGCATTCTATTCAGCGAATTTGGTTGGTATAGGTAGCTTTGGGTTTGTGTATAAAGGAATACTTGACCAAAATGGTCATTGCTGTCAAAGTGCTTAATCTCATGCATCAAGGAGCTTCTAGGAGTTTCATAGCTGAATGTGAAGCCCTGAGAAACATCAGACATCGGAATCTTGTCAAGGTATTAACTGCATGCTCAAGTATTGATTACCATGGTAATGATTTCAAGGCTATAGTTTATGAGTTCATGGCTAATGGGAGTCTAGAGGATTGGCTGCATCCAACTGGCACAGGAGGTGGCACAACGCTGGCTCTAAATCTTCTCCAGAGACTTAACATTGCCATCGATGTTGCGTGTGCACTAGAGTGCCTTCATTATCATTGTTAAATACCAATAGCTCACAGATTCATTGAATTTGTGTATAAATCTACGAGAAATTAAGCCTGTTCACATCATAAAACTGGGTCGTAAACAACATGAAAGGGTCACCTCTAAGGATAATATTTGTAAACTATATTCAATTTCCTAATAAAATAATTTCCACCTCTAAGGACAGTCATTAAGCAGGCCTTAAACTATATTCAATTTCTACTTATTAAATTTTTGGGTTTGAATTTTAAAATCAATATCAAATATAATTTATTTTGAGTGTGTTTTCAAAATCGTTGAAAAAAAAATCAATTTTAATTGAAACATAAAATGATTTAAATACACTTCTAACCGTTTGAAAAAAAATAAAATTCCATCATGTAACAAGAACAATTTTTTCATCATCATAGGAGGACAATGTCATCTAATATTTTTTCTCTGTCTCTATGATGGATTCAAAGAGCTCTGATGCACCTTAAATACCATGGTGTAAGAAACTAATCCAAAATTTACAAATACGTGTAAGGAAAATATGTTGATGTCACCTATATAATAATAATTAAAAAAAAAGTTTTCAAAAAACTCATATATATTAATAGCTAGTAGTTAGTATTAGTGTGTTTAATGAATGAGAGTTTTTGCGGTTATAGTTAGGAAAATTGTATTAAAAAAAAACTACAAATTATATTTTTCTGTAATCAAGATTTTAAGAGAGAGTTTTGAGTAAGACCTATGCAAAACTATATATTATATGTTAATTAACCAAATATTTTTAAATGTGTAATTGGGATGAAACGCAAACTTAATCACACCTAACCACACTACTAAATTGATCTTGAGTATCCAATACCTCATGCTAACATGATTATATTTTGCATGGGTCATACAAAACTTAATTTGAAATAAATTATAATAAATTCTAGAATAAAAAATAAAACATAAAAGACCATTTCACTATAAATGTAGATATAAACACTATAAATTAAAATAGTATAGTGATGGTTTTACACTTCGCCTAAAAAAATTATTGGCCTGACTATCAAAGGTAGTATGGTAATTTCAAAAGTTTTATTAGTAATTATTTGATTGATCGAAGATAACTCAGTTTTTTGCATTTTCATAGCACAATAAGATAACTAAATTACCTATTGAAAAAAAATTGTTTTACTAGCATGTAGGGACCTTTTTCAAATTTTTACTTTTTAAAGCACTAGAAACGGCTAAATTACTTTTAATAGCAAAAATTCTTTAGCTGACATCCAAGGGCTTTTCTCTATTTCCACCTTGGTATTTTGGTTATAATCAAGATGATTATGGGGTATTTGGTATTCTAGTAAATATATAATATTTTTTTTAAAACAAAATTGGCAGACACATGTATTGTATGAGCTAACATATAGGTTACGTTCTCACTATTTGGGCGATGCAAAAGGGTGTTCCACTGTCAAACGATGGCTTCTAGGTGGTGTGTGAATCGTCTTGATGACCTTTCCATCTCCAAGCAGCACATATGGCTTATTGATCTCTAGTTTGGTAGCGATAGCCTTTTGTTTTGTTTTCCCTTTCTTTATGACATAAAACACTAAGGATTGAAATAATATAATGATGATTTTACACTTTTTTTTAAAAAAATAATATCATTGGCCTAGCTACTAGGGTAATACAATCATTTTACAAGTTCTATTAGTTATTATCAAATTGATTGGGAACAACTTGATTTTTTTGCATTTGCATAGCACAATAAAATAGCTAAATTACCTATAAAAGCAAAATTTGTTTTATTGACATGGCTTTGTTCAACTTTTCACTATTTGAAGCATAGTACAAGGCTAAATTATTCTTAAAAGCAAAAATTCTTTAACTAGCATCCAAGGAATTTTTTCTATTTTCAGCTTAGTATTTTGGTTATAATTAAGATGAATAAAGGGCAATTTAGTATTTTAGTAAATATAAAATATTATTTTTTAAAACAATTATCTGATGTGTGAACTACATGTGCCAATGTGTGAGTTGCATCCCTATTATTTGGATGACACGTGAGGAGGCATTTGACGGATAAACAATGACTTCTAGAGTGGTGTTCAAATCGTCTTGACAGCCCTTTCATCTATAAACAATAACTTATTGATCTTTAATTTGATGTCAATATCCTTTCTCTTTTCTCTCTCTCTCTCTTAACCACAATACTAAATGCTTCCATAATATCCATTACCTAATGCTAACATGATCAGTTTTGCATGAGACATAAACAAATTTATTTTTAAATAAATGCTAATAAATTCTAGAATTGTTTTTTAAAAAAACCTAAAAGATTGTTTCACTATGAATAAAGATATATAACATTATGGATTGAGATAATGTAATAATAATTTTATATTTTTCAAGAAAAATATTATTGCTCAGGCTATTCGGGGTAATACATTCATTTTACAAGTTTCATTACTCATTATCAGATTGATCGGAGACAACTTGATTTTTACATATTTTTATAGCATAATAAAATGATTAAATTACCTATAAAAGCAAAACTTGTTATACTAGCAGATAGGGATTTTCTCAAATTTTTATTTTTAAAAAACATAGTAAAAAGATAAACTATCTTAAAGGCAAAAATGCTATAACTAATATTAAAGGGCTTTTTCATATTTTTTTAGCATTTGTTTTTTGTTATAATTAAGATGATTAAATGACAATTTGGTATTTTAGTAGATATAAAATATTATTTTAAAAGAAAAATTACCTAGTGCATGTACTACACGAGCTAGTGTTAGGTTGCGTTCCTGCTATTCGAGTGACGTGTGAGGGGTTTTTTGGCTATCATATGATAGCTTATGGGGCGACATTTAAATTATCTCGACATCCCCTTCATTCTTAGTCAGCGTGCATGGATTATTGATATCTAATTTGGCTTTGATGATCTTTTTCTTTTTATCTTTTCTCTTTCTTTCTTGATTTTCATATCTAACCCTTTAAATTTTTAAAGTAGCCTTTCAATTTGTTTTTCTTTAAATTTAGTCTATTTTCTTTTGATTACTATTTGTTTATTTGAAATAATTTATAAGATTATAATTTATTTTTCAATTTCAACCTCTTTTAATTTGATCATCTATTATATATGGTTTTTATTTTTCTTATTACTATTTTTGTATTTAAGATAATTTTTAAAATTAAATTGTTTTTACAATCTCATTCTTTTTTAACTTTTTTTTCTTATCAAATTTGATTCTTATTTTGTTTTTTATTTTTTTTCCTATCAAATTTGATACTCATTCTTTAGATTGCTTGTTTTTCTACTTAGAAAAGTTTTTTAAATTAATATTTTCTTTCTTATTTCATCTTTAATATTAAATTGCTTTGAAATTGAGATTTTTGATTAAGCTGAGATCTAGGATTTCATGAGTTGTGAGTTTTGAAGATTAACCACTTTTAGTAGATTCATCCTAGTTTAATTGTTTTTTTTAATTCATGTCTTTTTGGTTTTTTCATTTTCATCGGTGAACGTTTATTTAATTGGATATTAGGCTCTATCACTATATTTTTATTTACTTTTTATGGGATTTTTCACTAATTTTAAAAGTAGCATAGGTTATCTCAAGTTTTTTTTATATATTGTTCTTTGTTAAATTTAGTTTTTTAAAATAAATTATGTTTTTGAATCATATTAAACTAATAGATTAAATATAAATATGAGATACTCATTTCATGATATTTTTTTTTAATTGTTGCACTAACAGCGTATACAAGCTCTTTTAGTGTTGTTGTGCACCATTTTGTAGTGGCATTAAAACAATTTTGGTAAGCTCTTATTGGTGGTAGGGGGTGTTCATGATAGAGCAATGATGAGTCTCCAATAATATTTTATTTTCTTCTCTCTCGAGTATGATATTAATAACTCATTTTTTATAGTTAATAATTCTATTTATTTTTTTGCTTTATTTATTGTCAATGCTTTTTCCTACTTATATTATTAAGTTAACCAAGCTTGTTGACCTAGTCAAGTCAATGGCCCTAGTCTCAAATTTTTCTTACATTTTTTGAAACATTAATTTCTCCTAATTTTTTTTTTTAAAAAAACTTTGACCAGACTTATAGCATAGCACAAACCACTTATCTAGTTGAACCTATGAGTACTTATTGCTTTGTTGAACCAAGAAACAATGTCAATAGCCTACATGGTTCATTAGTAAATTACTAGCTATTAAACTCTTGCTCCATCGCTGGTTGTAATTGTTTAAGAGTATAAATGCTTCTCTAATGTGTTTTTTTTATATAAACCCATAGAAAACCAATGCAGAATGATAAGATCATATGAATCAAAATCTCCAAGAAATCAATTGTCACAATGTGAAACTTGAAAAACAAATAATTATATAGAAGGATTTAAAAAAAAAATTAAGGGTGAAAAATAAATAATTAGAGGGCAAATAAAAACTTTTACTTGGAAGTTTAAATTGAATTGAAAAATAACTTTAACAAAAAAAATCAAAAGAATAAGGGCTAAACTAGAAAAAATAATACAAATTATTTTTTTGATTGAAGGATGAAATTGAAAGAAAGAAAAAACTTCAATAAAAAGACCAAGGAAAAAAATAAAAAATTTTAAAAACTAAGAACCAAAATGAAAAACAAAACATTTGAAAAATTATAATTGAAAGACTATATTGAAAAAACATTCTATCAAAGTAATAAGAAAAGAATAAGAAATTAAAAGACTAGGGACTGAAATTAACAAAACAAATGACAAATTGTTATTGAATGACTAAAATGAAAAGGTACAAACTTCTTTAAAAAGAATAAGAATGAAATAAGAAATTAAAAGAACGAGAACTGAAATTAGAAGTAAAACATCTCAAAAAGTGTAATTGAAGGACTCAATTGCAAAATAAAAAACTTATATAGAAGAAATCAAAATGAAATAAGAAATTAAAATAATAAGGACTGAAATTGACACAAAAACAAACAAAGAGGGTAATGATATTCTTTA